TGGAGATGTGGAGCCGTATGCATTTTGTGACAAAGTAAAGCACGAAATCCCGATAAAGAACGTTCGAGTAAATATATTTACGACACGTTGTGTCCCGGTGCATTTAGAGTCCAAGGTAAATCGACAGGTCCAGGAGATGTTGAAAGAAGCTATAATTGAGGAAGCGGACAGCCCGTATAGCTCACCGGTACTTTTGGTAAAGAAACCGAATGGAAAGTATAGATTTTGTGTCGACTTCAGAGAATTAAATAATAAAACAGACCGGAAACCTTGTGCAATGCCAACAGTGGTGGAAACGTTAGATCAGTTACAGAATGCTACTGTGTTTACAGTGCTGGATTTACGGTCAGGTTATTGGCAGCTTTCTGCTGCCGGACGAGTTCTAACGGGTCTCCCTCTGAACTATTCATCGCGTATGCTTTCAATGGATGCTCGGCTTCCGTGTGTGGTCTTGACGAGTAATCCGCCATTACGTTTTTCTTTCCTGGAACATGGCCGATACTGAAGTCGTACTCTTGCAGACATAGCGTCCATCGCACCAACTTCCCTCGAGGGTCTCTTGCTGTTTTCAAACACTGCAAAGGTTTATGGTCACTCTCAATGTGAAATCGTCTACCTAAGATGTACGATTTCCATTTGTCTACTGCCCACACGATTGCCAAACACTCCTTTTCGATCGTTGAATACTTCTGTTCGGTGGGTGTGAGAACGTGACTTGCGTATTCCACCTCTCTATCAGACTGACTCAAAACAGCACCTATACCATGATCACTTGAGTCTGCGGCCACTGTAGACGGTTTCTCGGGTTCAGGCAGTCTGAGCGTCATCTGACCTTCGAGAGGTAATCAGAGTGATAGCAGAGGGTGGCTGTGATCCCGAAAGACTGGTGGCAGAAATGACACATGAGTGTCACCAGGTAGCACATACAGGCATCGCAAGAACGACGGATTTACTACGACAAAATGCATACTGGCAGGGTATGAGAGACGATGTGGCTCAATACGTGTTAACTTGCCAGCAGTGTCAACGAATGAAAAGCGATTGATACGCACAACCGCCATTATAGTCAATCCCAGTAACCGCAGTCGGTGACCTATGGTCGGCGGATGTGATGAAATCGTTTCTACAGACGGCGAGCGGTAACCAGTACCTGTTAGTGATGACGGAACATGATACACGTTGGGTAGATGCCGTACCCATTGCAGACCAACGGGAAAAAACGGTGACCGAAGTGGTAATCAGGCATATTGTAGCATGTCACGGAATACCGAAGATGATATTAACTGACCAGGGTCCTTGATTTTAAAGTGACGAGGTTAAAGTCCGTCTAAATCAGTTTGGCATCAAGAAGATACGAACTACACCGTGTCATCCTCAAACAAACGGGCTTACAGAAAGAAACACTCGGACGTTAAAGGATTGGCATCTAAAGGAGGAAATTGGGAGAAAGAGTTACCATTGATTTTGCTGGCGCATCGTTCCTCCATACAAGGAACAACCAAGAAGTCACCTTTCTTGCTCATTTATGGCAGACAGCCACGACTTCCACTGCATAATAAGACCTGGCTACAACAACAGAAGTGGACGACAACAAGGTTAAGAAAAGAGAGGAGGGAGGCAGTAAGGAACGTGGAAAAGAAACAAATATCAGACATAAAGAAGGTGCAACAACAGAGGAGAACGTGGAAACCTTTTGCAGTGGGAGACCTAGTAAAGTGTAGAGAACGAAAAAGTAACATAGCAAGGGTATCATGGTCGGGAAAGCTGATCCCAAAGTGGGAAGACCGTATGTTATCACTGAGAGACGTGGCTCGGTTTACACGATCCAAAGAGAAAACAAACAGAAGCGCGTAAATGCCAGTCAACTGCAAAGGTGGTTTCAAGATCATTATGAGTGTGACTCATGAACAGCTTCAAAGAAGGTAGCTGTACGGCGATCAGAAAGACTACGACGACAACTTATTAAAAAGGGGGACGAGTTTGGTACGTGCTACTTATATTGGCATAAGTAGTATATAACGCTAGTCAGGAATGTAATGTCTGGCAGCAGAAGATTGGGAAGATCAAGGAAGGAAAAACGGGAATAGAAAGCAATTAGTATAGAAATGCAAGAACAATGAAGTCCGAGACAATTATTGAACATTTTGCAAATTAGGTATTATAGTATGGTTTTTCTATTTTACCAAGTAACTCTGTAATGTGCTAATGTATATTTCGCTTGTCCTCACCTGTGTTCTTTCCCACTACAGTAGTATTCTTAACTTCGCTAAACCCAACTAACTTGAATTGTTTGTTTAGCATTAAGTGAGTTACGATCGATTCAGAAATATCCAGGAGCTGTGCGTCTCCTGATTTCGCCCTTTACTTAGATTTGTCCGTCATTATTCCATAGACACAGAGATTTTTCTGCTTTATTATTATTTTAGAGTTTGTTATAGGCGTTTTATCAGTTAGAAGATACTCTGATATTACATTTAAAAAAGACACATAGAAGCTTAGGATACGCGTCTATACATTCCGAAAACGTAAACTATGCACACGACTAGTTTCAGATTAATGAACTGAAGATTATAAGTTTTATAGAAAAATTTTTTTAACATTAGTACGACGTTACTTGAAAAATATTTACAAAATAGAAGTAATAAACAGTGTTTTCAATTTTAGATTGATCTAACACAAAGTCTTTTTTTCCGAAAGATTTTTAAGATGACTTTTTGCGTTTAAATTAATAAACATGTCTGGCGCCATAAGTTTCACTTTGTAATGTAAGTAAATTGGTCATCAGTGAAACCAAATAATAATAATAATAATAATAATAATAATAATAATAATAATAATAATAATAATAATAATAATAATAATAATCTGATTCTGAGAGGACGGATGAATTCTGAATATTATGGTGATCATTGAGCACCATATGATTGGATTTTCTAGCGTTGTTTCATTTCTTTCTGAATAAGAGCCTTTAGTCAGAGGTTCACAAGTGACTTTCTAACATGATCATCTTCATTTATGTGGACTATTTGCCCAATATTTTAGCTCCCAAACAAAATGTAACACATTTTTGGTAACCTACTGTACTGTTTTTAATTTGTTATACGTAAATAGATTAAAATTTATATTTAATACTACTTTTTATAAAAGTTTTAAGGGTTATAAACAGATTTTTGTATACATTTCATTCCCAATGTGTTTCTATCTGTATGAGTCATAGCTGAACGTTTCACATGTAAATACCAAATGGAATCCAGAAAGAAAGTTTGTTTAATTTATTGACAAACAACATGTATTTACCTGTAAACATATTCATATTAAATCCAGAATTTCAAGAGTTATAAAATAGGTCCTCTGAAACAGAACAGTTTTTATGACAATTTTCACCTTCTTACTATTGGAATTTGGATTCAGAGAACTGAGATACCGAGTAATCTGTTAATTTACATTATTATTCTCTTTTTTATTGAACTTTAAAAACTAATACGTAAATAGTTTATTAGTAGACTTTTTTTATGATTAACAATGAATGATCAGTAATAAATTTGAGAACAAACAGATTTCTGTATGAGATGTATTTAACTGCCTACAAATTATATGAAGTAATTTAAAAAGTGGTCGAAATTGGTTCATCATGGGTCAATGTCTTAAAAAGACTGAAAGAAGAGAGGTATTAAAGAAGAGATGAATGTTTCAAATAATCAATATATATGAACTAGAAATTTATTTAATTGAACAGATAACTCCACTTCTGTGGTCACTAAAACATTGGCTTTAATTAAGGTTAGCAACTGAATGGGGAAATAAGCTTATTGGTCACCTTAAGACCTTTATTCAGTTGGTTTATTAAATCATTAATCAATAATTCTGTTTATAAATAGTCAATTTCTTCCCGTTTATTCTAGACTGGTTAGTGAGTATTATCGATTAAATTAAGAATACATCGGTCAAAAGAAGTGAATAGAAAGAATAATATTGGTAAACTGATGTTAAAAGAAAAAGCTGTTAAGTATTTACATCTGACTAATCCTGATAAACAACTCTGATAAATATAGTTAATGGTTTTCAGTTAGTTTTGTTACTCAGTAGTATATACTGTTAAGTTTTAAAACTGGTTATAAAAGTCCTTTCGATTAGTCTACTTGCTTATTAAAATTCTGAAGGGACATTAGTTGTTTGAAAGTAACAGATTGCATATGTTGATTAACCGCTGTCCAATAATTGTGTATGTAATTCATTTATTGATCTCGAAATAAGGCGAATCAAGTATCTAATTCTCATTTTTCCGAGGTTTTCCATTTGATATTAGTTTGTGGTAAAATCCATCTGAAAACTATACCGATAACCACAAAACAACTTCTGAATTAATAACTAAAAATCCATCGATAACTAATTTTCAAGTTCACCACAAAACTGGAAAGCTCTGTGTTTGATACTGTGTTAAGTGTTCACTACTGAATACAGCTTGAAGCATGGAGGAAATAGGCTTTCAGTATTTTCTCTTTCTAAATGGTTTTACACTTAAGTTGTGACGAAAACCTGATCGAATGATAGTAACTCAGGTTATTAAAAAAATATCTGTTACAGTACTGATTAATCTGTACTTGTAAGTCAAATATACAACACTAAAGTCTTTAATTAATTAACAATTTCTACTAAGTTTTTTCTCATAACACATGTTTTTTTAAAAAAAAGGTTACAATCTGAAACGTTTTAACCGTATTTAACCTGATAAATCCGATAATTCAACATAATAAGGATATTTTAAGGTGAAAGTTGTTTCAATACTTTTATTCCCAATCAGCAAATATACGTTTTGAAGATAACTACGATATTATTAAAGACGTGTAGTATTAACCTATAAAAATACATTAGTCAAATTTCATACATACATTTCTTTATAGATATTTGTATAGTGTAGTGTTCAAACAAATTTAACGATACCGCAATTCCCGAAGCTAGTGGAGAAAAGATATGATTACATTCTCTGAATGATCACAGTGGTGAATTCTCTAAATATTCCAGTTTATTCATCATTAGTTAAATATATTGTAAAGCAAAGTGTTCTGTCTGACTTTAAAGATTATGAAGCCTAATCACTTGATCTTGATCGAAATAATAGATCACATAACTAGAACACTTTCATTTGTGTCTTTTTATTATTAAGAGCACAATATTTAAATTTATGTTCAAAATGATTGTTAATAAACAATGTTTTGTTTTCAATATTTCAGGTGAAATCAATACTCAACTCTCCAAATTCTACATTGTCTCATTTCGACATCTGTTTGAATTTCTATGCTATTTCATATCATAAATTGCTATCAGATACAAGATTAACATTGAAAATTTTGTGATTCATGACTATCAGTAAATAAAAGTAATTTTTTGATTTACAATATGACTGTAAATAAAAATCAATACAACTATCATCATTATTGATTTTTTTTTAAAATATAACCTTCAGTAATTCAAAATCAATTACATCTATCTAATTTCACAGGTTGAAATCATGAGTCAGTTGAAGCTAGACCACCATTGAAAATCTGGAAGCACTGGACTCATGATTTCAACCTGTGAAATTTCTTAAACTCTCTACAAAACCCATTCTGATCTATCTAATTGTTATTCACTATAAACACATTGTTTAGTTTATAGACATTGTTAGAATTTGAAAAAAGAAAAAAACTCTTGTCTAATTCATTCATATAATAATGGAATTCAAGTATATTTCACCTCTAGAATATATTTCAAAACAAATTTGCTTTATATTAAATAATATTACTGAATATAATTTAAAAAAGCAAATCAATGAAATCACTACTATTATGTCATATGATTTTATTTAATGGTTTGCTTATTCAATACTAAATCGTATTATTTCAGAATCAAATCAGCATAATGTATACTTTCAATTGATAATAATAATTTCAGAATATTATATAAATTTTAAAACAATTATATTAGATTATCAGAATGTGTTTTGTGGAGATTTTTAGAAATTTTCACAGATTGAAATCATGAGTCAGTTGAAGCTAGACCACCATTGAAAACCTAGAAGCACTGGAAGCACTAGTGGTTAAGTGCTCGCGCGCGAAGCCAGTATGTCCTGGGTTCAAGCCCCGAGTGGTGCGGGGTCGTGGATGCGCACTGCTGAGAAGTCCCATACTAGGACGAAACGGCCGTCCAGTGCTTCCAGGTTTTCAATTGTGATGGTCTAACATCAATTGGTTCATGATGTCAATCAAAAAATATTAAATCATTAATTTATACAACTTTTAAATATAAATCTAATTCATTAGATTTATATTGTATCATTTATATCGGAATTATTAAAAAATATAAAATATAATAATCAAATAAAACCATCTAATTCATGGGTAAATGAAATATTACAAATCATTAAAGAATTATATTATATTACTGATAAATTAACTATACAATTTGAAATTGAATTATTGTTTAGCATTTTAGAATGTGATTTTAATGAATGGAAATCTGCTTATTATCTTAGACGATTTATTGAAAATGACAACAAAGAAATAAAATGAACAAACAATCATCTAATTAGATTGACGCTAGATTTAACATATATATAAGGATATAATGGTCTTCTTGTCCGGAATACTACAACAACAACAACAACAACAACAACAACTACTACTACTACTACTACTACTACTACTACTACTACTACTACTACTACTACTACTACTACTACTACTACTACTACTACTACTACTACTACTACTACTACTACTACTACTACTACTACTACTACTACTACTACTACTACTACTACTAGCAATAATAATAATAATAATAATAATTATTATTATTATTATTATTATTATCAACAAGTGAATACAAAAATATTGATTACTATTTCAAATAATCCAATGAACAATCTTCAGTTAATATTTTTGTTTTTATTGTTTTAATTTGTTGTTGTTTTCTTTTTCTTTTTTTAAAGTAAATCAAATTTGTTACCTGTTTTAAGGAATATTGTTTAGAAAGATGAATTATAAAGTTATATGAATTTTTAAAACAAAACTGCTTTATGATCATTTCACATATTATAATAGTGTGTTATAAGTAGATAAATTACTTATTATAAACAACAATATATTTAGTATTTGTAAGTTATAAAGTGTTAAAATATTAGGATAAAATGGATTGCAAGTTAAATTTATACATCTAATTAAATACTGAACAGAATAAAGTGATAGGAACCTCTGAATGATCATATTTGATTATACTAGGCAGCATTAGATGGTGGTTGGAGGTAGTCAACAGGAAACCCTGGACCAGGGTTTCGTGCTACTTGGCACTCGTCAGCAAGATGTACCTGTAATCTTGAGGGAACTGGTGATCCCTGGCAGATTCGATCTCGTGTCACCCAGCTTCATAGTCAGAGACGTTACCACTGAGCTATCCGAGCCGCGACTGACCTCCTGTAGGACTGAGATGTAATCCCAATTGATTGATCACTGAGTGGAGATCAATGTCATGCGTGTCTAGTCCTTATTAGGGCAGATCGAATGCTATCGACTAGGCAGTATGCTAGACAAATCCATGAAATAGTTGTCAATCGGTCTCAACTGAACTGTTGAAAAATTAATAAGTTTAAAACCGAGACACACAGTATTAATTCATTGTCTCATTATATTTGTCTACATCTTTAAAACATTATCCTACACTTGTTTGTCCACCTTTTCCCTAAATCCTTGCAGTCATCATTATTTGCTTACCTATTTTTATTCTTTGAGTTACTTTACTGTTACTGAAATATGAGAAGTTGAGCTGATAAACTGTACAATTGTCTTAATATTTTCACTTTATCTTCTGATAAAAAGGAGGGGGTCTATTCTATTAACATAGTTGATTTTTATGAACGAAGCTATCAGTAAATGTTTGAACTCTCTGCATCAAAATAGGTTGGAACGAAGTTAAAAGTAATCACACAACGTTATGTCATCAGTTCACAAAGTTATCAACTATTGGGCTGAATCTTAATGGGAGATGAGAATTTTCTGATAGAGCTACGTCAGATAATCGTTACATATGATTAGAGATGGTACTTGACATGGTCTAACACTGGTCTAATTGATTCAAATGTTTCAATTCCTGTCTTACTTTAAATCATTTAATACTTTTTGTTTTCTGGCTTTATGGATTTCTTTTTAACCACTCTTTTCATACATACAATTTAAAACAATTAGTCCCTTTGATAAATTTCGATAATGATAGTTCTGATAATCTTCGTCTTCTAATATCATTATCGAAATACATACAATTCTCACTAACATCTAGCTAAGTTTATGTGAAATGTGGTGAATCTGATCGATAAACTTTTAGCATTAGTACTAAACTACCCAAGGTTAATAATCTAATGCCAAAAGATTCAACATGAAAGGTTTTTTCGCAGAATATATTTCAAACACACATTACTGGTAAACTAAATCCAATGGACCGCATATGGTACAAAGGTTGAAGGGAGTGTGTGTGAAATTTTCAGTCGGCTATGGGACAGAAAAACAAATAAAATGTACGATCTCAAAAACTCAACCAAATGTTTTGAGATCCACAAAAAATAAGGGTAATACGAATTTTTTGTTAATCAATTTGATATTTACCACTGAATGAAATAAAAGCTGCATTTTGACGGAAATATCTATTCAAAAAACAAATTGCTCTGCTTGAAACCTTTGTTTTATATTCACTTGATGCTGTTTTACTTGTATCTTTCCATTGTTATTTAGGACTGCAGTTGACCAGTCTCTTGTTGGGATGCAGGTATATCCAGCTGACGAGTCCCACTGCTAACCACCATCCATCTTTGCTTAAAAAACGTTATTTTATATGATTATACTGAGTGATTTGATATATCAAACTGAATTTTGTGACAATAAGGTCAAACAAGAGATTTTAAGTTATCTGTTTAAAGTCATAAAATTCAAGATCAGTTAGTTATAACGAACATGCTACCTTGCATAGACGTACGTCGAACCACATTGTCACATCCCATCAGCATAGAGAGGAAAAAGTGAACAAAAAAAATTAACCGTAGAAAATATGAAGAGAAGGTATATTTAGTCTATCAGCGCTTTTCTAACAATTACAATAAAAAAGATCATTAGAAATAATGAGTTTCATTTTAGCAAATTCTCAGGATATTCAGAATTAATATCATGTATATTCTCGAGATTTTCTACCAACAATCAGTCTCATAAAACGATCTGTGCAAATGGTAATCACTTTTAACGTTCAGTATTTGTTAGATTTGCATCTAGCCTGAAGGTATTTTGTGTTTTGTGGGAGTGTGAGGAGCAGTACGTAAGAGAATCTGGAAGAGAAAAAAACAACAGAAAAACTGAGCTGATGACTCAGTAAGCACATAGAATGCACTTAAACTTAATAATGAAATCAATCGACAGCATTCATAAATAACACGAACATGAGATTAGGACAATCTGAACATCGATACTAGAAGTTGATAGCGTAATGTTTCGAATGCTTTAAATAATTTTGAATCTGAAAGCACATATTCACATTAACCTGAAGTAACTCCATTCTACGCATTTCTGAGTGAATTTTGATGTTTTTATACTCGTACATTTGATTTGTTTGTATGAATTGGAAAAAATTAAAAGTATTATGTTTCATTCCTACAAATTTTTATTTGCTCATGTGCTTAATTTACTTTGTGCTGTGCATTATGCGAGTGTAAACAGAAATCCTGATCATACTATGTATTATTCTTCTCTTTTCATGAATTCATATATGATCAGGTTCAACAGATACTCGTAATCAAGGACTGGTGTGTACACGCGTCATACTTGGAGTCAGACACGTGTAGCACGTAGCCAACAAGGCCTTGACTGCTTCTTCCCATTACAATCGATCATACAAAAAAGTGTTAACTTCTGATCAAACGCATAGTTAATTCTTTAGTCAGCCAAACAAATATTTTACACAAATTACTCATTAATGGTTAACAAAATTTATTTTCTATTTTTTATTATCATTTTAATTTTATTAGTTAATAAGCATAATCAGTAGGTTAAACGACGCATTATCAAGATGGTGTTTTTCGATTGCAGGAGTCAGTTATAAAAGGGCTGCAAATATACTCTTCGAAATTTTCGTATATTATCAATCATGCACACATGAAATTTAGAGAAATGTCGGGTATGAGTAATTAATATTTGATTGGTGCGTTGTACATATTTACTTGTTTTATTCATAAATGATACAATTCCTTCATGCTCGTTTGTTGTCTCTTCTTATCTTTAACCACTGATACAAATTTCACAGATTGAAATCATGAGTCAGTTGAAGCTAGACCACCATGGGAAACCTGGAAGCACTGGACGGCCGTTTCGTCCTAGTATGGGACTCCTCAGCAGTGCGCATCCACGACCCCGCACCACCCGGGGCTCGAACCCAGGACCTACTGGCTTCGCGCGCGAGCACTTAACCATTAGACCACTGAGCCGGCATCCAACGGTGTTAATGTCTAACTTCAACCAATCCACGAAGTTGCACTACCGTACACCATTGTCCTCAGTGAGTTCCTATCTCACAACAGACCTGGTTGAACTCCACTGGTAACGACTTCTCACTAGAACTCCAGAAGTGTCTCCTGAAGTCAGTCACTAGTGAGCAGGTGATTATTATTATCAGAATGGGTTTTGTGGAGATTTTAGAAATTTCACAGATTGAAATACAAATGTTTTTACTAGATCACTTTTACGAAAAACCCAAAATTTCTTATTTTACTACTTATAAGCGATGCCATTAGTTATTCTAGTGTGTTAACGTAAAAATTAAAACTGTGGTGATACAATCATATGATTGAAAATTTTGATACTGTTCTGATTATACATCGGATGTTTCCCCGAGAAACGACTAATGTTGCATACACCTACAGACACCAAGTTCAATCATTTAGTTTCTTGTTATTTTGGTGAATATTTGTAGCTCAGGATCAGGATGATGGAAGTGTTGTGGTCTCTGAGTTGAATGATTTGGTTATGGCAACTTCTAATCTGATGGTCAGATTGTCTTAATCTTATGCTTGTATCACTGTTATTGGCTGTAAACTGCCTTCATTAATCAATATAAGTGAGTCCTTTGTACTTTCTTAGTCATTAGCTCATTTTTCCGATATTACCCTCCTTTCTAGATTCTTACGGACAAACTGTCCTACATATTTTTCCAGCACACAACATGCTTTCAAGCTAGAAACAAACCAACAAAGTCTAAACGTTGCAAATCAGTTTACACTTTAGATTCCAAAAAAACGCATAGGAATCAATTATACGCCTATGTCCCACTGACTCATAAAATTTTGTCCGTGAATATCAGCACATTAGTACTGCAGTGAACAAGAACACCAGTAGGAACAACAGAATATGACATAAACTTACAGGACTTATTAATAAAATCTAACAATCATAAAGTAAATGCTTAATTTGCAAAATGTCTACCAATTGTCTCAAAATGACTCAGACTTCATTGTTCTTGCATTTTCATACAAATTGCATCCTGTTTCCATTCTTTACTGTCCGATCCTTTTGTCTCTCCGCTGCCAGACCTTCTGTTTACGACTAACATCACGTACTACTTATGTCAACATAAGTAGCACACATCACAGTACTTCAAATTGATAAGAACCGAACAAAATATGACTATTCTAAGAATTCATTTCTAAAATAATCTGGAGATAGCGACAATTTATAAAGATAGTTTTGAGTGTGAATGGTATCAAAATGCATTCAGCTAATGCAGAGCATGAAATGTTATAGACATATTGAAAGGTGAACTGAATTACAGAAATAGCTTGATAATTGCATAGAAAAACTTGGGAATTTTCTATCGTTTATTTTTTATAATTGCTGTTCATAGCATAGTTCTTAATGTAGATATCTTATTCTTT